CGCTTCCTCTTCCTGGCCCCACTTCCAGGAAGCCGATTTCCCCAGCAGGGGGTGGAGTGGCTCAGCAACTGTGGCTTTCTGTTTTAAGAAAATGGCATAGAAGTTGAGCAACCCAAGGAAAGCCTGAAGCTCCGTTTTGTTTTTTGGGCTTGGAGCTTCATGGATTGCTTCCACTTTTGATTTGGTGGGGTGTATGCCTGTGCTATCAATGAGGAAGCCCAGGAACTCGACTTCCTGTACTCCTATGATGCACTTGTCCCGCCTGACCCTCAAACCCTTGGCCTTGAACCGCTGCAGGACAAGCCTGAGCCTTTCAAGGAGTTGGGCTCTTGAGTCACCGGAGATGAGCACATCATCGAAGTAAGGCACCACCCCTGGAACGCCTTGGAGAAGGCGTTCCATCATGGATTGGAAGATACCAGGGGCAGCGCTGACTCCAAATTGGAGGCGGTTACATTTAAATGCCCCTCTGTGCGTGACAATTGTTTGAGCCTCCGCCGTTTTGTCATCCACTGGCAGTTGCTGGTAAGCCTGGGCCAGGTCCAGTTTCGCGAAAATTGATCCAGATCCCAGGGAATGCAGCAGATGTTGCACCACTGGGACTGGGTATACGCTCTGTGCCAACGCCTTGTTGATGGTACAACGGTAGTCAGCACAGATGCGCACAGACCCATCATGCTTCAGTGGGGTCACAATGGGGGTCTCCCATGAGGCATGATCGATCGGTTCCAGGACGCCCTGGGCGATCAGCTTATCCAGCTGTTCATCTACTTTAGGCCGCAGGGCAAATGGAACTCGGCGGGGCTTGAGCCTGATTGGGGTGATTCCCTTGTCCAGATTAAAGGAGATTGGCCTCCCCACAAATTTCCCCAGTTTACCATCGAAGACTTCTTTGAACTCTTTGATGATGGAGTCGAGTTCGTCCCTGCGGATCTCGTGGATGCCCTGAAGTGAAAGTCCTAGCGGCTTGAACCACTCCACACCCAACAGGTTCGGTCGGCTGTGCTGCACGATGGTGATGGGTAGCTTTCCGTCGAAGTCGTTGTACTTCACGTGGATGGTGGCTCTGCCTAGGATTTCAATGGGGTTTCCGTTGAAGTCCACAAGTCTCGCTTTCGGGGTTTTCAGCTGGGTCCTTTTGTATGCCGGTTTCAGCTGTTGTAGGTGCTGCCAGTCCATGATGGAGTAGGCGGATCCGGAGTCTACCTCCATTTTGCACGGAGACCCCTCTGCTAGCAGCGTCACGTGGAACTTGGTGGTCCCCTCGTCGCTTGTGTGAGCAATGGTGGTGGTCTGGTGCACCGTTCTGTTTCGGGGATATTCCTCCTCCCCGCGCCGGGACTGGTTTGAGGACCGTTTGGATGTCCTCTGGTTATCTTTGCGATTTTCCCGGAATCGTGGTCTGGGCAGTTCCGGGGCTGGATCTGTGGCTCTGCAGGCCTCGGCGATGTGCCCCCTCTTCAGGCATCGGCGGCAGGTCGCGTCCCTCCATCTGCAGTTTGCCCTGGGGTGGTCGCCTCTGCAACTGCCGCATCGTTCTCCCCGGTCGCCATGCTGTGGGTTTTCCCGCCTGGGGGGGTGGGAAACCTTGTGGACGGCCCTTTCCTCATCCGACTCGGATTGCGTGGTTGCCTCGTCTGATGAGGTCAGGCCCGACTTGTGGATCTTATGGATCCCTCTTGCTTTTACCATTGCGGCGGCTGCTTGCTCAGATGTTTCAGCCGCTGTTGCTTCGTCGAGGACGTCTTTGAGCGGGATCCTCTTCCGGCTGAGGAACTTTTTCTGCAGCCCCACATCTCTCATGCCAAAAACAACGCGGTCTCGGATGGCGTTGTCCACGTTATCGAACTCGCAGTTGGCAGCGAGTTGGCGAAGTGCTGCCACGAATTCCTTGATGGATTCACCTTCCCGCTGGTTTCTTTGCTGGAAGGTGAACCTGTTCGTGATGGGGGTGCCTGTAGGTGCGTAATGCTCCTGTAGGACTTCCTGCAGGTCGTTCCAGGACATCTCCTCAATGTCCCTGGGTGCCACGAGGTCAATCGCCATCTCTAGGATGTCCGATCCGCAATGAGCCAGGAAGAGGGCTCTTTTCCTCTCATCGTCGAGGTTCTGGTATCCATTGCCTCGCAGGAACTGCCGGAATCGGACCATGTATGACCTCCACTTCTCCCGGGCTGGGTTGAATGGGTTCAGCGCGGTCATCGGGGCTTGCGGGGCAGCCATTCTGGAAGTCGCTGTGGTGTAGTGACTTCAGCTAGGTGGGCGATCGTGCCAAGAGTCTTGTTCGGGTTCTTCTCTCAAGTCCTTCGTCGCCAGTGTTGAATCAGGCGCAGGAAAGGAAGACTGGACCAGCTCGATACATTAATAACTTTATTAGGTACAAGTAACGAGTCAAGACTGCTGGCGCGCTGCCGGAGCTCTCCTTATATTCGCTCCCGGCAGACGCACCGCCCCTTGACAGGGATTCAAATTTCCCGCCCGATGGCTGGCAGCCAATCAGGGCGGATGACCTTATAAGGACATAACACCTACATTCCTACAATTGGATGAGTTATGATCTATGTTTATAATACAGGCATATCAAGAAAAGCCTTCTGTCCAAGTTGGAACACAATTGCCATCAATACTTTTCTAATAGCATGCAAAGACAAATAATTCCAGATGAATCATTTTGGTGTTCTAATCTCTCTTGTATAATCATATCAAACTGAGTCACAACTGTTATTTTTTGCTATTGGAGGTTCTTCAGCAAAATGTTGAGTTTTTGAAGATCAGGAATGTGTTTCTATGAAAAAGCAGCATCAAATGCTTAATGTATAGACATTGCCTAGTTTCAGCTGTGAGTTTCAAACTAGTTTTAGAGCTAATTCTTGAGAATATATATCGATTTAGTTATTTAAAATGTAGAAGAATTTAGCAAAGCCTTTTGAATAAGGCCAGAACTATAAGAATTTATTTTGATGGTATTCTGGGGTATGTTTTATTTATTTTCACAAAGTTGCTGGTGCTATTAACACAATATGTGAATGGGGTTATTGTTTTAAGTACATAGCAAGTAAGGAGCTGGGGAGAGAGAAGTAGAGGGAACCTGAAAATGTTTTCACTGACAGAAGTAAAAGAAAATTGGCTTTCAATTAAAGTTGTGGCATATTCATTTACATTGGTATGATTTGAAACAAAAGCACAATTATGCAAGACAGATAGAGTTAGAGTTCTCTTGAAGGATGACTCCTGTTAATTTTCTGATTCACTCCTGAATTCACCCCAGCTCAGCATTGTTAAAAAAAGTAAGAAAGCTGGAAATACAAACATATTACTTTAATTATAATAGCAACCCATGTATTTATTCCAATTACAACTGGGAACTGACAAGGGTAAGTTTCTTCCATGCTTTCACTTAATTTTTGCCATCTTCATTTAATTTCTAATTAACCCAGGAAAAACAACACCCAAGCTAAATGAGAACGATTAACTGTCGAGCATATGCATATTTGAACCATTCCCTTCTGATGCATCTAAACTCGATAGCCACATCTGGCACAGAAGGGCAAAGGCCAGGCCCAAAAGCAACATCTTTCTATTGCTGCTTTACTATTCATTTATTAATTTCCCCTCCCCAGAAGAAAAGCCAAAGGACCAAGTGGTTGGATGCCTCTACATACATCTTAGAGCAGAAGAGTGCAATGCTGAGCTATTCAGGGGCTACATAGCTAGGGAACCCCTAAGGTCTCCTAAAGGTTGCCACCCAACTCCAGCTTTGAATGTGAAAGAAGGGGGAAATTACTAAAACCCTTGTGGAGCAATCATATTAGCTGTGTTTAATTAATGCAATTTGTTTTAATTAAAATGCAAATTAAATCAAATCAAATTGAGTTGTTATTCTGGCCCCAGTTTTGTCTTGGCTTACTATCTGGAGTGCAGCCCTAGTGTGTTAGTTAAAAGCCACTCACATCTCTTGCCCTGAAAAATGATGTGCTACCTGGTCTGGCGGGATTCTGAGAAAGAGAAAATGGAAACTACAGCAGCAACAGCAGCAGTAACAGCATAATCTAGTCATGGGGGGCTGCTGCCGGATGTAACAACCGGTTCTCCCGGAACCAAAAATGTGAGAGCACGCACGGCATCGAAAAACCGGCAATTATATAGAACATGGTAGCATCAGGGTGGGTGGGCAGGGCCAGCCCTGGTCAGAACTACCGGTTCACCCAAACTGGTCCGAACTGGCAGCAGCCCACCACTGAATCTAGTGTTCCTCAGCAATGAACAGAATGCTACTCATGTCATAATTGCTTCTTGCTGCTGTTTAACTGTCCACTTACTGGAAAGATTTCCAAATAGATACCGAAGAGCGGATTCTATTCAGAGCTACCACAGTTTATATGCTAAATCTGGGATTGATTGTGTACTACCATTAGGATCATTAGAATAGCAGAGTTGAAAGGGACCTTGGAGGTTTTCTAGTCCAATCCCCTACTTAAGCAGGAAACCCTATACCATTTCAGAAAATGGTTATCCAATCTCTTCTTAAAAACTTCCAGTGTTGGAGCATTTATAACTTCTGGAGGGAAGTTGTTCCACTGATCGTTCTAACTGTCAGGAAATTTCTCCTTAGTTCTAGGTTGCTTCTCTTCTTGATTAGTTTCCATCCTTCTTGTCCTGCCCTCAGGTGCTTTGTAGAATAGTTTGACTCACTCTTCTTTGTGGCAGGCCCTTAGATATTGGAACACTGCTATCATGTCACCCTAGTCCTTCTTTTCATCAGACTAGACATACCCAGTTCCAGCAACCATTCTTTATATGTTTTAGCCTCCAGTCCCCTAATCATCATACTAACAATGTTCCATTCTTGGAGCTGTATATATTGAATAACAGGACACCTCAAAATGCAAGCACAGATTCAATGGAACATGAGTAACTGAAGAGAGAAAAATCTTCATGAAAGTGTAAATACAACAATGACCTCATGATGAATATCATGAATCAGTTTTAGTGTTACTAACCTCTTGCTTGTAGACCTGGACCACATGTTTCTTGGGCACCTGGGCTGTCTTGCCGAACATACCATGGTACAAGTTGGCACCGGCGCCATTTGTGTGTCTTCCATCTGCAGCAAAACAAAAACAAAAAAAATCCCAAAATGTCTACATGAACCAGGGATGGGTTTCTACTGGTTCACCCCAGTTTGGGCAAACCGGTAGTGGTGGTGGTGGGAGGCTCTGCCCACCCACCTAGATGTCATCAAAGACTCTCTGCGCATGCGCAGAAGCTTCTGTGTATGCGCGTGCCCGCACACTGATAGCGAACCAGTAGCGCCGGGATTTGAATCCCATCTCTGATGTGAACACAGGTCACAATAATTGTTTTGTTTATTTTCAATAAGTCTAACAAAATGGCAACTTCAAGCTGATCCTTGCTGGTGCTGAAAAATAGGATCATACCTAATTAGTACTTGGATGGCAAGGAAAATTTAAAAATAGCAATCATCATCATCATTCAGAAGAAAGCAATAGCGATCTATTATTTTTTCAGCAAGAAAATTACATACATGCGCCTATCACAGTTTCATTACTTGCAAGAGTTTCTAAAGATATCTTAAATATTCACAGAAAAATAATTACATGACTTTCCATTTAACTCCATGTTTTGCTGTTTACTTACACTGACATTAAATCTGTTATCTTTATCCTGATTATCTTCATATCTTTTTTAAAAATGTGGCTGAATGGCAATTTTTGTAGCCAGCAACTAGATCACGGATGTTAAACTCGGGCCGTCATGTTGCCATCATGTGATTTTTCACAATGTTTTTCCCCTTCACAGGGATAGGCATGCCTGCATGAGACACGTTCGGCTTCTGGGCCACTATTTTGACACCTCTAAACTAGATGGTTATTTCAGGGGTGGGTTCTAATTTTTTTTACTACCGGTTCTGTGGGCGTGGCTTGGAGGTCATGTGACTAGGTGGGCGTGGGTAGATGGTCAGAGTCATTTCTGGAAGGTCCTCGCACTTACGACCAAGTCCTCACACTTACGACCCGACTCATTTGATTGCTTTTAACACTGATCAGCTGTAGGACGGCCCTTTGAAGCTCCGCGGCAAGAGTTTAAAGAGTTTTTTCCCCTCTAGTCATCAGCTGGGACTCAGGAGGCAGCAATAGATTGGGAGTGGGACCAAATAAAAGGTAAGAATAACATGGGTGGGTGGGGGGTGGGAGGGCAGGGGGGAGAACCGGTTCGGTGACGTCATATCGTCACCGCTACTGGCTCGGCTGAACCAGACTGAACCGGAAGGAACCCACCACTGGGTTATTTGCATTTAGAACTTTTCAGTCTAATCTATAACCCTGGGTTTGCCTGATCATCTTCCATTCAAGCACACATAAACTAAAACTTTAATTAGCTTTCTGAAGCTAACCCTTTTTCCAATGTTGGATATATTTACATATACAACTGGCTTTGTATAGTTTCATAAATAAAGGAAAATGGCAAACTGCTATCAAGGTTTAAGTTCCCCCCCAAAAAACTTCCACTTTTCTCCATGCATGTAAAATGGCTCATATCGAAAACATTTAAGTGTGATTCTTGGCCTCCCCAAAAAGTGATTTCCTCTGTTTTAGAGTGACAGAGGACAAAAGGAGTTTTAGTTAAAAAATAAAATGTCACCTATAAAACACGCAGACAGGAGGCGGATCACAGTCTTTTTCTTCATATAAGGTCTCTGGGCAGTCGCGACCCCCATTTGCAGGGAGCTGCAAGATGACTCGATGTCGAGATTGTTTTGTCACAGTAACAACTGACCCTATGAACAAACATACAAACATCCATTTTGCTTCTCTTTTTATTGGACCACTGCACTGAAATTTGAGAAATTAGAAAACGTATAAAAAACAGCTTTACTAGTTGCTGAATCCTTTAGAATGCATTTTAAATATATTTGAAGTATCATAAGTAAAGCAAAACCTATTTTAACTTCTAGGTTAAAACAAACTATAAATAAATGATGTAATTGCATAGGAAAAAACAAATAATTTATTATACTGTCATAGTTTATATCTGAATATTTTATAAAGTTCTCACATTTATTTTCAAAGTGATTTTCTATATATATTCAGTTTAGTCTTAATGGCCATGATAGCTTACTTTGGAAGCTTGTATCTTATGTTTAATATATCATTCTCTTGATTTAGGCATCTAAGATCATCAGTATTTTATGGATATCTCTCATTTACAATCAAATGTTGTATTTACCTCTTGCATACGCTTCCCAAACTGTGCTGCACCTCTGTGCACTCTCTCCGACTCACACCGTAATATTGTTTTGATTGTAGCTAATTTTGCAGTTTCTATCAACTGTGAGCACTTACTGAGATATTTATATTGCCTGACTCATAACCAAAGCATTTTTATTGCTGATCAAGAATTAGAAAGATCCAAGTTTATTTCACCATTCAATTGTGAAGCTTTCTGAATGAGACTATCACAATCTTTCATACTTACCTAACAGAATGGAATACTAAAGGTAATATAGGTGAGGAGGAACAGACTTCTATGCATTTCCTTGTGTTCTTGAACGAAAGATGAGATATGAATGCAATTCATAAATAAATCATCTTGTTTAATAGAGATGCCAATCCTGACATCCAGCATAGTTGCTCATTGCTGTCATGTTTACATGCAGGTGCAAATGCAATAAATTTGATATTAAAAAGAAATGACTTCGATATTGCAATTAAAGAAATACCAAAGTATTGTACACCCTGTGCAATTGCTCTATACTTAACACATTGAAGTCACATATCTAGTTTTTCTTCACTATCATATTAAATATTTCAGGCATTTATTTAAAGCCTAGAATTTCAAAATGCTCTTTGTTTTCAGTTACGGGTTTAATCTGTCTAATCCTTCATTAGTTGGTAAATACTTTAATTAGCAACCCAAGTGGCTGTAAAAGTAACCCTGTATTGATCTCACATTTTACACAACATGGAGCACAGGCTGTGAACTAAACAGGGTATCTTTTCAATACAACAAGGACAGGACTTCAGCAAAGAAGAGGTGAAAGCAAACACCATATGCCACAAGGAGATTAACTCACATGAATGAGGAATTATATTATTGACTGTAGCAATAACAGTGCTTACATATTAAGATAAATGCCTCCTGCTAGAGACAAAGGGATAAGGCAGAAATATGTGGGCAAGACTCAGGCCATCAAAACTACTTTGGAAATATAATTAGGATGTAGAAGAAATTCAAAAGAAATGTAGCATGCAGAATTGTAATTGCAACCAGTTACATTAAACATCTGGTAAGATGTGCTCAATTAAGATTCCTAAACTTTATTTGCATGATGTTTATTTTTTCAGAATAGTATTTTAATATCTATAACTTCTATCTTCTATGAAAAATATAGAATAAAAAAGGAGGAAAAATATCTCTTCATTCTACTATTGTTTATATGTTAAAAAAGGCATAAACCCTCTGCACTGCTGAATTTGAAGGTGAAATTTATTGGATACCGATATGGTGGTACCTCGGTACTCATCATTAATTGGTTCTAGGATGTGTGATGAGTACTAAAAACGATGACAGATTTTTCCCATAAGGAATAATGTAGTGAGTCACAAGGCAGCCAACAGACAAGTTCTAGCTTATGCATTGAGTAACAAACAAACAATGAGTACTGGGACAAAATTTGCACGTCAAAATGCATTGAGTATCAAATTTGATAAGTTTCAAAGCAGGTGAATTCCAAGGTATTGTATATCTGGTCCCTTTCTTAATTTCAATTATGACCCTCCATAAAGTGCGAAATAAAATAAATACCAGCAAAAAGTCAATTCAGAAACATTTCTGCTTAAAACCATATTAATATTTACTAAACTGAAAGAGCCATCTCAATAGGAAGGTTAGGCTTTAATCAATGGATTAAAAAAAAGATTAGAAGAAATAATGAAAGCTATTTACTAAAAGATAATACTCTTAGAGATGGAAAAATAAATATGAAAATCACTAAGAATTACAGATATCTTTCAGAGAGTGGTTTTGGTAGTCAAGATTGTGAAGAAGATGGAACACATTAACTTCAACTTATAGTTTTCATTATTTTTACTATTTGTTCAAGGGATTTTTTATTTGTTAATGCATTTCTTTTTCATTTGATTTGATTCAATTTACACATAGATATGTGAAGTCTGAATCAGGATAGGCTACAAATCAATCCATCAAATAAAATTATTGAAAACAGAAACCCTGTAATTGTTGCAACTTTTGCACAGAATAACAGAGAAAGACAGACAGACATTTGTTATCTTCCTACAAATATCTGATGTAGAAAGATTTGCTCTGGAACAGAAAGTTATTGTACATATTATTTTCCTCTGGCCATTTTTAAAAGGGTGAAAGAGATTCTTGATACAGGTATGTTACATTTCCTATATTTCCTTCCCGACAGAAAAAAAAACACAATTACTTTCTAATCAAGCCTATAGCCCTCGAATGCTAAAATAATTGACCAATAAAGTAGAATTTCAATGCATTTTGGAAGTAATTGCAGCATATTTAATTACTGTTCATTTAATTCTAGTGAGTTTATTAGCAGCCATTGAAAAATCAGTCACTGTTAAAACTAAAAGTTATACTTGCTTAAATCACATTGAAATCTCACAACATAAACCTTGAAGACTTGTGATGAGGTTAACAGCCTGGAGAAGGAATTCAAATTATTTATCTATAAAACTCAAGCACAGTACCTTCTTGACATAAAGAAGGACACAGTGTCCAATCACTGTAAGGAGTCACAATGCAGTCTTTCCTGCAGGGCAATAAACAAGGTCTAACAGTTTCAGGACGAAGGTTTTCGGGACACCTATAAAAAACAATGAAAACATTAAATGTACAGTAAAAATAATATGGTACTTGTCAAAGTGGTAATAGAAAAGGAAAGATAAAAAGGAAATATTTTTTTTAAAGAAAATGTTATTACCTTTCAGACTCATGGATCACTTTGTTCCTTTTTTCCACATTGATATTTCTGTACCTAGTTTTTGTTTTTTCATTCCAATAATTCAGAGGAAACCTCTATTAAACCATAATAACTGAACAATATCATAAAAATCTTCTCTATACTCAAGAGAATTTCAGCAGTTTTTGTGGTTATGCAATGGAATACAATTTTGTGTTTTCAGTGTAATTCAGTAGTAACTATACCAGGATAATTTCATAGGCTGATCTCAGTCATAAATTTTATTAACAGGACTTTGAATGGAAGCTGTATCTAAAGTCTGGAAAGATATTTTGTTTTGTGCAAGAAATAGGACATGGAATTTACTCCAGGGAAATGCACACTAGTCTGATTAAATCAGAAGGCAATAAACTGCCAGATCATAATTCAACATGGATTATAAAATAACTGAAAACAAAATTATTACCATATGGTAGGTTCATCGTATTATTCCCTATTATTCCTTTACTCAACTGTTCATCTAAAGGTGTCTATTGCATATTCCATCTTCTGATCATAGTATTTGTTTTCTTGCCTTTAAATCAAGCTGTTGAGGTTATAATTACATCTGCAGCTACCTCTCTTTCTCAGACCTCCAACCCTATTCAAGGTCAAATTAAACTGAAGTAATATAAACTGAAGTCTGTTACTCTAAAAATAAAGCCAATAATATTGATTGTATCTTTTCCCACCAATTCTTTTTATTAAGAGAAGTAAAAACATGGTTCTCATTTGCACTTTTATGTACATCTTCTGCTCTTTAAAACCTTATTAAGTGACATGAGCATGATGGTTCAAGAGATTAACTAACATATTTCTGTTCTTCGTTCACAAGACTTCATCTGTTATATATTGCTACTATCTTATTGGAAACCTAGTGATCAATATATCCATTTGGAAACAACACTAGATGGAATAGATGTAGCTGTTTTGTAAGCCAGAACAAAATACGTAGTTTCAATCCAATGCATCTGTATGAACAAATTTGGACTTGTTTTTAATATTATTCTGTTCTGTTCTGTTCTGTTCTGAGTTCCATTCTGACATGGAATTATGTCCTAACATATCTATACATATAAGTACTTTAGAAGACATTTAGGTACTAGCACTATAGTTACTTTTTGGGTGGTACTTGTCCCATGTTGAGTCTCACACAGATGACTTTCCTTGTTTGCATTCCAACAGCACAGGTAGCTTCTCCATTCCAACCAGCAGAAGAGTTGAATGCAGACACAGAAGTATCTTCTATGCATTGCCCCCACTGTCCAGTCTGCCAGTGATAAACTGTACAAGGATGATCATTGCAATTGCGTGTTTCCTGTAGCATGCTGATATTTGGGCACTGAAGACCACCTAGAAGAAATAATGTTGGAGTATATAATAGGGGAGATAAAAAGAATTATAACTATAATGGGGAATGAAAAGATAATATATCTAGTATCCCTACATTCCCACCCAAAATAAATCATTTTAATCAAGGTAGGTGAAAAAAAAAAAATAGATAAGCATTAAGCTGTTTGTTGCGTGCTAAGCTTTTGACTGAATGGGCTCTTCAGCTGCAACCTGAATGCTTCTCTCTGAAAATAAAATGGAATACATCCATACACCTAGAAAACACATGGAAAGGAATTTTGTCCAGTCTTTTCTCTGATTATATGATTTTCTACCGTATGTCAGATGCCTTTGTTTAAAATCACAGGCTAAAATTATACATTTATCTACAACTTTCAATGATATCCTTTTGCCATAAGATATTGAATAGGGGGTAGAATTATCTCAACATGTGCCCCAGTTTGTATTATCTTCTCTTCTCCATATTCCACAACTGAAGAGTTCCAGAATTAATTCGCCATGCCATTATTTTATTATATCTGAACTGGAAAATTTTAGTCAACAAGACTAGGAAATTTCAGCATCTGAACCTAGATTCAAATTAAGAGGACAGCAGCCAATGTTTTTAATGCTTGTAACCAAAGTTTCCTAGTTAGAACATACTGGAAAAGTATGAGTAATTATAAGCAGAAAAGAGACCCAAGGTTTATGAGTCTTTTGATACATCTGAACTATGTCATTATAGATGCCCCATATTATACTGCATTCTTAGATGCAATAAGTAATAACTTAATTTAAATTGATATAAGAGATTGTGGATGTTTAATCTAAAAATCCATTAAATCACATTACTTTGGACAATGGTAAAACTGAATTAGCATTAAGAGACTATTTTCATTGCCTATGGCTATCAGTATGTCTTCAAATGAATATCATTAACAAACAAAACATTAATGGAAAATTACAGCTTCTCTCTCCATTGACCATATAATTTAATAAGTTATTTTTCGTATGGTTTGTTTCATTTTAATTTTCCTATCCAAGCATACAGTAGAAATGAAGTATTTTGGTGATCTTATATTGTTCACCTTTGCAAAATTGGAAATTCAATGAAAAAGGAAAAATCATCACTTGGAATAGAGGCACTGGACACTAATAATCTGCCTTAGAATATTTGCCCTTCTAGCCTACTCTGTACATTTTGATTGACATGCCTACTGGGTCTCAGACTAATATGTAACCTTTCCTTGTTGATGCTTAAACTATGTTCCTATTTCCATATTTCTTTCCCAAATACAGTGTAAGAACTTCAGAGAAAGGCGAAGAGGATAAAGGTTTAATAAAGCAAACAATATAGGTACGGTAGTAGCACAGCTTCTTCTGTCATTTACACCCCTTAAACTTGATTGGAAAAGGTCTCTCCTATGTAAGTATACAGAATTAATCTCTTTTTTTAATTCTAATGTTTACTTGACAACAATTAACCAGGTGTAATCCTGATTAATTTTTTAAGGGCAGGTGAATTTGGCCAGATGCTATCATCAAACATGACTGATCAGACTCAACCATAAACAAATATGAGCACTGAACGCAGGGGTGAAATGCTCCCGGTTCGGACCGGCTCGGGCGAGTAGGTAGTGATGGCGGCGGGCAGTTTGGAGAACCAGTAGCAAAAATCCCTTCCCCCCGCAGCCTCCAGCTTGCTTACCTTCGCACGCCTGCCTTGCTTCGCTTGCTGTAATCCCTGCAATCGATTGCATCAGCAAGCAACTGAATCTCCCTGCCTGCAATCAAGCTCATCGGTGAGCAGCTCTTTCTGCCTGCTGCCTGCCTGCCTGTAAGTTTTTTTCCCCTTTAAAAAAATAGTTAATTGGGGGTTTTTTTAGTTGTTCTTTTTTTAGACCTAGCCATTTAAAGTTTAGGAAGTTTTAAATTTAGCTGCTTTTATATAAAAATAAAAATAAAATAAAATAAAATAAAATAATATTTGTGCAGCTTTGTGAGATTTTGTATGTTTCTGTAGTGTTTCACTACAGTGTGGAATTTTGTGTGTGTAAAGTGTGAAAGTTGGTTTTTTGGACTTTTTGTGGCTGTGTGAGGTTCCTGCTTGTTGCAGGGGCCATTTTGGGTCTAGCACAGCTACTTTTATATCGTGGGTGAGCCAGTTGTGTTGCGTTGTGTTGTGTGTGTGTAAAGTGTGAAAGTTGGTTTTTTGGGCTTTTTGTGCCTGTGTGAGGTTCCTGCTTGTTGCAGGGGCCATTTTGGTCTAGCACAGCTGCTTTTATATTGTGGGTGAGCCAGTTGTGTTGTCTTGTGGTGTGTGTGTGTAAAGTGTGAAAGTTGGTTTTTTGGGCTTTTTGTACCTGTGTGAGGTTCCTGCTTGTTGCAGGGGCCATTTTGGGTCTAGCACAGCTGCTTTTACATTGTGGGTGAGCCAGTTGTGTTGTGTTGTGTTTTGTAGATTAAAAAAGAGCAAAAAAGTGAAGTCAACTTGGCCACACCCACCTGACCAACAAGCCATACCCACCCAGTCACCTGACCACTAAGCCCTGCCCACTAATTAAGCCACGGCCATAGAACTGGTAGCGAAAATTTTTAGATTTCCCCCCTGCCTGAATGTATGCAGTGATGAAGTTACAAAAATAAAATCCTATGCATAACCATTTCATGGTTCTCAAATCGATTTATTGCCAGGTTAGATTATTTAGAACTATGTTTTGTGTTACAAGCAATATTACTGCGCAAATCACTGGGTCTATGTGAGACAGAAATTTCTTACACTGTCTATCAATAGTGACTGAACAATTTTTTCAATGTTACATACATGAAACCCCAGTTAATTCTATATTCTGTTAATTAAAGTTTAATGATCATTAACACTCATTAGTAACTGAATGAGCATTACCATACATCAGTACAGAATATTAAGTGGAACTATGGAGATACTATCCTATCAAAGCGTAAATAGATTCATTAGAGGAATTAATCAACTAAATGCTTTCAGGCAAAAATTAGTTGAGTTGTAATACTTCAGATATGTATAATCCAATCGGACATAAATATGAAAATAAAGAAACATAAATTTATAAAACAGGCAGTCTGTAAACATGTAGTAAAGTAAAACTGAGATTACACACACACACACACATGGCTTTTTTAAATGAGATACATAACACTAAACATGACCTGATCTGTTTCTGTTCACCTATACTTCAAATTCCCAGTAATAGTATACTAGTGCTAGAAAGTAAAAGTTTTAAATACATCAGGGATTAATTATTTATTTTCTAATTTTAAAAAGCAACTAAGGGAGGATATTGAGATATGTGTGCATGAATACACTAACCTCATCAGAGAAAGAGGTAAGATTAGTAATTTTATTTCTTTCCCTATCTTATCTTTTCTTAATTCTTAACCAGAATTATCATCACATTTGTAAGGCATCAAGTTAAAGATGCCTGCATTATCCTTCCTATATAAGAAAGAGATGACCAAAAGTCATGTTATCACATGATTCAGAAAGAAGATTGATAATTATTTAGCTATGGCAAATAGCCATCAGAATGGCCATCAGAAGCCATGCTCTACAATTAATTAAGCTACAGACTTTCTTTTTCTACTTATTATTATATTCCTTTGCTATTTTGACACCAGTTCTTCTATTGATTTGAATATAAGAGTTTGCAGGAAATACTATCTACTAGTCTCCCTTGAGTTTGACTTACATATGCCATAAATTGGTTTCCAGTGTGCTTCAACAAACATTGTAAATAACAGTGATGTGCATACTGGGGAAAGATTACACTGTTTACTGATTATTTAGATTATCAGGCACCAACTTTTGTTCTCTCATCTGGAAATAATTAGCTTGATTATGACACTTATGAAAAAGCCAGACTTACTTTCATAATTTAATTATGATATTCAGGAAGGTAGAAGGAATGCCATATGATTAAATTGCTTTGTCATCAAAAATGTCCACCCTGAGAATTGCCAAAATACAGTAACATTTCTAATCTTGCAGGGAGGATAATATTATATATGCAGATATTCCCTGTGTTACTATGTAAAAGAAGCTTCTTAAATTTGCTACAGACTAAAATGAGTTTCATTTCATATAGAGATAAGTGATCTGCATTGACAGTATCCTAATCATCTTCCAGATTCTGGGATAATTTTTGCCAAATCCGAAAACCTATTATTTCTTGTCTTTCCCCATTATCTGAATATATTTCAATAATGGTGCTTGCCTAAATATGGTTTCATCAGCTCTCAGCCATTGTTGCAGTTTTAGCAGTACATTAGATATCTAAAATGTTCCACACTGGGTGTGAACAAAGGAATATAGTTAATATCTATTGCCTTAGAGAAGCTAAGAGCTTAAGGCTCAATATTACTTCTTTACATGGCTCTCAAGCCTTTAGCATCATGAAAAATTAAGCATGAAACAATTTGAGGCTCATTTGTGACTCATAAATCATAGAACTGGAGTACCTATGCTTGGAAAAGCCTCCACCTTCCTGTTGAAAAAGCTTTTAAAAATGTATTTATAGGCTGCCATATGCCAAGGGCTTAGAGGTGGAGAGAGTAACAGATGTTTTGAATTATAAAAGTAGATCTATTCCTCCCTTTGGACTCTTAACAGATTTGTCCCATAGTTTTTGGGGAAAGAGAAAGTTGAAAATACATATAGCTTCTCACATCTATTTCTTTGCTCTCCCTCTCTCCCCCCTCACACACACACACACACACACACACACACACACACACACACAGAGAGAGAGAGAGAGAGAGAGAGAGAGAGAGAGAGAGAGAGGGAGGGAGGGCGGGAGGGAGGGCGGGAGGGAGGGAGGGAGAGAGAGACAACAACAGAAATGGACATATGGATTACAGGGGAAAATATAACTTCCCAAAACAATAGCTGATAAGAACAAGCAATCCCTATATTGCTTCAAACATATTTCTTCTAAGAGAAAGCTTCTGAATTTTTAGTAACATTTTGACCAGAAACTAGTACTGCTTCCAAGAGCCAACCATTCCCCCCCCATCTCAATCACTAATGTATATATTTTAAACAGTTTAAATCAAAACATTTTCTGTTTCTCATTCCAGAGGTGATATTTAGCAGGTTCTGACCAGTTCTGGAGAACTGGTAGCGGAAATTTTGAGTAGTTCGGAGAACCGGTAAATACCACCTCTGACTGGTCCTGCCCACATCTATTCTTTGCCTCCCGAGTCCCAGCTGATAGGAAGGAAATGGGGATTTTGCAGTATCCTTCCACTGCCACACCAAGCCATGCCACACCCACCAAGCCACACCACAGAACCGGCAGTAAAAAAATTTCAATCCCACCACTGCCTAATCCAAAGGGAGACACCCCCCCCCCAAGAACCGAGACACAGAATAGGACAACGGCATCGCCCTCCTCCCTTACATCAAAGGCACCACAGATAAAATCAGCAAAATTCTCCACAAACACAATATAAAGACGGCCTTCTGTACTGACCAAAAAATAGCAAACATCTTAAGAAACCCCAAAAACAAGATCCAGCTAGAAAACCAAGAAGTCTATGAAATACCATGCAAAATCTGCCCAGCCACATACATTGGACAAACTAATAGGAGAATAAATGCACGCATTGGAGAACACAAGAACGCAATCAGAAAAGAAGAAAAAACTTTCTCCCTTTTCCAGCACCTTAAAACAACAGGACATGAAATTGACTTTAAAAAGACCAGAACCATTGCCAAAACTAAACACTTTAAGAACAGAATAATCAGACAGAATCAGCAAGATCCTCCACAAACACAACATCAAGACAGCATTCTGCACAAACCGAAAAATATCCACCATCCTAAGAAACCCCAAAACAAAATTGAGTTAGAAAATCAAGGAGTATATGAAATCCCATACACCGCCTGCCCCACCACATACATCGGACAAACCAACAGAAGAATAAGTACATGCATTGAAGAACACAAGAACTCAGTCAGAAAAGAGGAACCAACTTCTTCCCTGGTCCAACACCTTAAAGCCACAGGACATGAAATTGACTTTAAAAAGACCAGAACCATTGCCAAAACTAAACACTTTAAGAACAGAATAATCAGAGAAGCCATCGAGATAGAAAAACGCCCACACAGCATGAATAAACAAGATGATACCTCCCGCCTACCAGCCATTTGGAAACCTGCTCTTATTGACAAACAAGTCCCTAACACAAAGAATGACACCAGACCCAAACTCACGAAAACCACACAGGATGTCACCACCACACATCCATGCAAAAAGGAAACTCAAACCCACACCAATGATGAGGCATGACCACAAACCAGAAGCCAGACCACAGCTGCATCATTAGCCACTTTAAACCTCTCCAATCCATATATGAAGCAAACTGATACCCACCATGAAGATGTGGCACGACCATGAACCCGAAGCCAAACAACAGCAACGCAGCTCACCAGCTCAAATCCCCCTGGAACTCAGACTAACCCGAGCACAACCAAGCCCCTATCCAATCAGAACACACCTCCACCCAATCAGAACACAGCCAAGCTCCCACCCAATCAGTTCACACCCCCACTGGCAGTTAATAGGAAGAAACAGCTGCGATCATACATTGCTCCTAGAAGCATGAAGCCGAAAACACCAGCCTGAAGATGATGAATGAGACTTCATCAAAACGTCGGCAAGACACTTCCAATTTTACGCGGGAGAAAACCTGAAAAACCAAAGACCTATACACACACACACACATAAATATGAAATTCTGTAATGATAAAACGGTCATTAACATGCAAACAGTAGAAACTATGTAAACATTTTAGCTCCGGAGGTATTAAGAATTCAATTCTACAGGAAGTCTAAAACTACTTTTACTGAGATTAGCTATAATAAAAGAATCTGATTGTATTATTAGCAGTTCCTCCTTCTTACAGTTCAATTTATAGGGAGGTATCCGTCTCAGCTGCTAATGTTACAGTTCTGGACTTAAAAATGCTTTAGCCCTTTTTGTATAGGCAATAGTTTCTGCACATCTCTGTTAAAGTTATCTTCTTTATTCTATAAGGTTATACTTTTCAAAGATTATTCTTTTAAACACTTTTGTATAATACCTTCTTGAAAATAACTCGTATTAATACAACTTTGTCAAAGGTATATTGGATGCTAATTGATTCAGTTCATTGGTGCTAATCAACACAGAGCTTTCTGGAGATTCGGGGATTGTTTTTCCAAACTACACTATTCCTTTTCCACTGAAATCTGTGGCAGATTTCTTTTATATTCCTAGTTGAAACAGAACACGAATTAAGTGATTTTCTTCCATTTTGAAATGTAAATTATTTGAGAATGGCCATAAACTCAGTGAAATATACATATTTTGCACTCCAGCTTCAAAGAATTAAATGTTCCTTTGTAGTATTAAAGCTAAATGAAATCATGCACTAGGAACATTATAATAATATTAGCAAATTAAGAACAATTCCTTTAAAACATTTGCAATGCTGAAAAAGCAAAGTATACATTTTTCTTTTAATATTAAAATGGCTACTGAACAAAAAAAAATCTATACCACTATTTAAATCCTAATAAGTTTACACTAAAAAATTTCTTGGGGTAGGAATGGAGAAAATATAAAATAGGCACATGCCATCTGAAGCTAAATGTGAGAAACAAAATGAAAGAAGGGAAAGTAAGTAATTTGAAAGTAAGACAAGAGAATATAAGATGAGATATTTAGCCTTAACTGTTAAAAGCATCATCTGGTACTGTCAGTCTTTTGGGGCCAATCAAGTAAGAAACATAACCATATGAGCTAATTCTACTTTATAGTAAAGCTACATTGACAGAATCTTACAAGTCTGAAAGTACATTTCTCTCCCCCCCTCCTCCCTTTCCTTTACAGCTAAGAATGGCCTCTTTTGAGTGTCTTGCCCCATCCAATATCCAGCTGCAGGCTATGCTGTCTCTTATTTGATCATTCCCTTTGCAGTGTCTCTTTGCACAGTCTCCCAAGGCCATTCCTATATACCATTGCAGGTATTTCAGAACTCATTAATACATGGCAAATCGCAGTGAAAATAGTGTATACTCTACTTGCCAACACTTTTACTAGTCATACTAAAATATTACAAGAGAGAGAGAGAGAGAAAGAGAGAGAGAGATGGAGAAAGAGAGAGAGAGAGAGAGAGAGAGAGAGAGAGAGAGAGAGAAATAACTTTTCCTTATTCATTTTTTGTCATGAATCCTAAGAAAATATTACATGCTTATGTTTGTGTGTTGCAAAATGCTAATAGATGGTCTTACCTTCACCTGCATATGCCAGGATGGAGCGGGTGCGCACCTGTTTCCCTTCTGTGGTTTTCCCTGAGCAGGTGTGAGAGCAGGACGACCATCCAGACCATGTGCTGAGAACACAGTCCTTGGGGCATGGAATTTCACAGACAATGGGGACGGGATAGATAGCATCTCTGCAGAGCTGTCTATCAACTTCTTCTCCTGGGAAAGAAAAGGCCAGTAGCAGTCTATCAGAGCTAATTTAACTTCAGTTGAACATTCTTAACCCAGATGGGCATATAAATAAATTAGATTTGGTTGCTTTGTAAAAAAAAAAAAAAAAAAAAATGATTAGTTATCCAAGTGAGTGTATTTTTTTCCATGGCTGAGCGCTTAAGAAATTGCTGCAAAATCCATATTCACTCATGCATTCAAAATGGAGCTGAATGATGAATGGGAGAAAGTTCATATTTATACTTTAGGTAGCAAATATATATATATATGTGTGTGTGTGTGTATACACATATATATATATGTGTATATATATATCTTAATTTAGATAAGAAAGGGACAAATATTATTTAAATACTGTAACAACTATCTTTGTGGGAAAGATGTTGCAAATTCATTACGTAGCTTAATTATCTTGCAGAACAAACCTAAACAGATTTACTCTAAATCAAGTTATATGGCAAGGGTAGCTTCCAGTCTCCTGGTCTTCTGGAAGTTCATTAAAAACTTGATTATTCCATATCAGCTGGCTGTTGCAGGGCCCTCAGTGCCTGGAATATTATATTAATTATAATTGATGCAATTTATATATTGCATTTCTGTTATTTTATGTTTTTTGTTACTATTTTTGTTTCAGGGGCTGTGGTTCTTGCTTGTGTATCCTATTTAGAGAGCATTAATGAATTTAAATTCATTAAAAATAAATAAAACCCCCGAATTTTACTAATTTATAACCCTCCAGATAGAACCATTCGATCTAGTGGCTAAAGTGCCAGAATGGAAAGCAGGACAGTTAGAAGGTTAGAAAGTAACTCCCTCCTTAGCCAGCAAAGCCATCTGGGGGACTTTGGGCCAGTCACTTTCTTTCAGCCCAATTCATTTCACAGGGTTGTTGTCTGGAAAATAGGAGGAGGAAGTCATGCAGTATTGGATGTGTTCACCGCCTTATTTGTAAAAATAATAAAGGCAGGCTACAATAAATAAAAGAATAATAAAAAGAATAACATTCATTGTATTCTGGACAATATGGCCATAGCATTATAGGCATCCTGGCAGAGGTGCTCTATGTTGAAGATTGCTGGTGGACTAATGTCCTTGCCTTCAGTTTTTTATTTTTAGTTTGTATTATTGTAATTAATGTCTCAATATTTTAATATTTATGGTTTTAATTATATGCCACCAGAATTGCATTACAGAGTGATAGAAGCAGCAAACAAATTAAATAAATAAGTAAATAATACGATGGAACTTTTAGTCCAATGTATGTGGAAGGAAGCAGTTTGGGTAAGGGTCCACTATACATGGATGAAAAGCTCAATTACATTACATATAGATTCCTTGATGGAATTTTGGGAGTTCAACCAAGAAATTGCAAAGTCATTAACTCTGAGCCAGAGTTAACTCACCCCAGATCATTATACTGCAATTATGAAGTTATTTCATCTGATCAATTATTTCATCATAATAGCTAATAGAATTGAGCTCAAGATGTTCAATATGACACATAATATGCTATGCTACAATAACATTTAAAAAAAGAAATACAATATTCCAATATCACATTCAAGATAGGAGTCAATACTGATAAATAATTGCTTATTGTCAGAGCTGCTCGGGGAACTGGAAGAAGAAAATACATTATAGTTTTTTCTTTATACCAAACTGCTGGCCTTACATTTTAGAAAAAGTAAAACGTTCTGAACAAATATGTTGGCAGCTGAAAGAGAAGAGATGCTTCCTTTCTTGATCGCGCTGATGTATAATGACATTTTAGCAGCTGGCAGGGACACCTCTATCTCTCTCTTGATACATATATAAACATAGAAATATGTGAAATCCTGTGGGCAAATAATGCCAGTACTCCTAAAATCTTCAAAATCTTTAATTAGATAGAAGTTTGATTGTCACATAGCAAACAATCAAACTGCATCTACATCTGGTGGCAGACTCTTTAAAAATTGATTTTATGTGAAAACAGGATAATATTGTCACTCACTGCATATTATGGAAATATGTTCAGATCTAGAGCATTCCACGGTAGGTATTATCTGATTACAAGTAATAAAATGGAATGAGGCATCCTTTATAACACTTACTTAAGATCATTGGGAGTTTGTACTACTGAGGTAGATTTTTTCCCTAATATTTCATAAACAATATGAACAAATTGACCTTTGTGGGTATTTCATCTTATAATGTCACATCTGACTAGGAAGAATCAAGCATATCTGCCAAAATAATCCCACTATAGCAATCACATGAAATGGTAGAAATCCCAGTAGATAATAGCTGTGGTGGGTAGTATAGCTAGGTTTTATAATATGGTAAAAACGAACAGATGACTCTGCATGTACATAAAAACGAAATATGTTCTCATGAGTTTACTTTTATTTTAAATTTATGTTTTGAAATCAAAATATCATACTAAATCTTCTCCCTATCGTTCTTATTTAAAAATAAGTGTGGGTAGCTATCCACTGTCACTCAGTCTTCATCTATGAACATGGAATTTGCTGTTTATTAATTTGAGTGAAAGAACAACTACTTGGAGATTAAATAGCATAATGCTATTCTAAAATTAGACTAAGAAAACTGGTGGGAAGAATGAAACCAGTCTGAAAAGGCTAAAATAATTTGAGCAGTAATAAATACATCTTATTGAAAACCTGAGGTAAACAGATGTTCCCTTTCCAACTGGAGATGACACAATATGTCATCTCTAGTCATAACTGCAATGACAGAACCATAATGATGTCAGTTCTAGTTGGAAAGGGTGTCTAATTGAAAGATGGCCTACTGGAACAGCATTTCATTGTTATCTGAAGTTGTCTTCTACATTTTGGCAACCCAGATCTGAATACCTAGCAATATGACACTATTATACATTTTATTCTATGGCAGTGCTACTAGATTAAGGTGACCAGACGTCCCGCTTTTGGCGGGACAGTCCTGATTTTTTAATAATTTGTCCTATGTCCAGCGGTGTTTTTAAAAAGTCCCGATTTTTCATTCTGCCTCCTGAGTCCCCGCTGCCTCCTGAGTCCCAGCTGATGGCTAGAGGAAAAAAAACTGTTTAAACTCTTGCCGCGGGGCTTCAAAGGGCCGCCCTACAGCTGTTCTGTGTTAAAAGAAAACAAATGAGTAGACCAATGCCTGCAAAAATAGAAAAAACAGCCCCTTACAGCTTCCGTGTAGGTTAATTAGCACGTTGATTAGCTCGGCTTCCCCACTCTCAGCTGATTTGCTCTCAGCTGTTTTGCGCAGGGCTCTTGCTGCTTGCTAAATTGCTCGAGCAGATTTTTTTTTCTCCTTGTGCAAACCAAGCTCAAAACGAAGCTGAAAGTGAAACTGTTGGCTTGTTTGGTGCAATGTTGGAAAATTAGGCAGCAGATTTCTTTTCTTTTTCCTCACCAAAAAAGGTAGGTGCAAACAATGGGAAATTTAGGGCAAAAGAGGAGAGTTCAAGATTTTAAAACACAAAAGAAAAAAAGCTCTATTTAACTAGGGAATTGTAATAATTGAGATACTATTAATTGTATATTGTGTTGAAAGCAGAAATGGTTAAATTGTGGTTTGGAGGAATATATGGGGGAAATTATTTGGTTTATTATTATTGGTAAATATAATTAATTGATTTGTAAGAAATTGGATTGCATGGAAATAATTGGAATATTCATGTTCATATTGATTAATATACAAAAAAGATAGTTATATAACTAATTGATTTATATTAAAATGTTGAATTTGTATTAAACAATTGTATTACATAATTACATAATTGACCAATGTGAGGATGGATATAAAAATAGATGACAATGGGAAGGGGTATAATATAGAATAGAAGGGAAAAATTGAATTTGATTAAGATTAGAGATGAGGATGAAGGCTAATACTGTTTTTTTAAAAAAATAGATGAGAAATAAATATGGCAAAAAGGAAATATAGAAATTGTAAATTAAATTGAAATGACTAAACACTGTTTAAATTTGTGAACCAGCCAAATATTCTGTTCAAAGAAAATACACTATGTTTGTATGTGTGTTTCTAATTATTGCTATTTATTCATATTTGTTCTCTTTTATTCTTTAAAGTTTAACAATTCATTCTTTATCTTAATATCTTTATATTTGTTTGGGGTTGGCTTTCTTCCCTTTAATCTTTTTTATTGTACAGCAATCTTTCTCCTCAAACCTACCACCTCTCTCTTTTCTTTCCTTCTTACTTTCTCTTCCCCCCACCCTCTTCTTCTCTCTACTTCCTCTTCCTTTCTCCTTCTCATCTCTTCCTCCCTCTCTTACCCTCACTCCTACTCTAATTTCCCTTCCCTTCCTTCATCCCTCTCTATTGCTGTATCCTTTTATGCATATGGATTACTCAGAGGGCTGAAAAAGTTATTTTTGACTGGTCCTCGCACTTTTGACCAGTCCTCGAATTTACGACTGTCCTCACATTTTACATTTTTGCCCTATCTTGTCACCATGGTGAAGAGAAGCAGTTGTGAAATGAGTGACATGGTTGTTAAGAATGCTGCACGGGCATAAATGTGAGGATGGTCATAAGTGTGAGGACCAGTCAAAAGTACGAGGACCTGTCAGAAATGACTTTTTTCAGCCCTCTGAGTAGTCCCTATACACATAGCCATGGCCACCCGGTCACATGACCAGCTAGCCACGCCCACCCAGTCACATGACCTCCAAGCCACGCCCACAAAATAAGCCACGCCCACAATGGTGTCCCTCTTTACCAATGTTAAAATCTGGTCACTTTATACTAGATCTGGACTACAAACATGGATTACTGCCATATTAAATAGCAGAGGACTATTTGCTGCTATCTTATGGTCATCTAGATTTTTGCAAGCCCTTCCTATCAGCCCTAATATAGCTGTTATGAACTACTATAAGATGATGTTGGTTGAACAATCTTTTTTCAGATAATGCTAAGTAGAAACCTAATAATAATAGAAACAACTGTTTCAGACTATTTTTAAA